TATATATATATATATATATATATATATATATATATATATATATATATGTGTGTGTGTGTGTGTGTGTGTCAACTGCTAATGAAAAATCATTTGGACTGGCTTCATCACGTGCGGTAAGCCTTTGTTATCAAGACGATACTGCGGCAAGAACTCAAAAGTAGAATTTAGACGCGTAAAGGCGGGTCATCCTGCGGCGGGCAGTACGACTGAAAACAAATTTCGCTGCTCTTTGAAGAAGCAAAAGAGCTGCAAAAGCTTCCTCAGCTGTATTTACGTGTCTTCTGCCCTAAATCTACAGCGATTTGAACGCTTGTTGCGCCAGTAACTACCCGTCGTCATCTGTTCATATGGAGAGTACACAGGGAAAAGCGCTCTAAACGTCTCGGGCGCAGAACAATTCAGAGAAGAATACAGCAGCCGTAGCTGTGTAGCAACTAGAGGGTGCTGGTTCCAAGCAGTTGAATATGGTTGGGAAATGAGAGAAGATACCGATATGAGCGAGGTGAACAAGCCATAGTGACAAATAAGAAAATAACAATACCGAATAATGTTAAATTGCGCACATTTCTAGGCTACAAGGAGATGTGCCAGCATCGTGGGACAGAGTCGGGCGTGTATCACTACGAAACGCGCACTTGTGAGAACAGCAGACGGACAGAAGACCGGAATCGGGTCCCGTAAAAATCAGGAGACGCAAAAAATAGCTAAAGGCAGAGAAGACAGCAGTGGAGGAGCGCAAAGAGGAAGGAGGACTCTGACAAAACGGGGTGACAAGTAGTACACTAGACGGAAGTATTCGAGAAACTCCACGTGAAGCCGTGTGGGTGGAACCCAAAAGGCAGGAATCCAAACAAACAAAAAGAGCAAATGCAGCATGCGAGTCAAGCCTTCGAAGGTGCTGTTGATCGGTGGTAGCAGTTGACCGTAAATTCTCTCAAAAGCCGATACGCAGTTATTATATATATATATATATATATATATATATATATATATATATATATATATATATATATATATTATATATATAATATATATATATATATATATATATATATATATATATATATATATATATATATATATATATATATATATGTCTGTGTGCTTGTGTGTGTGTATGTATGTGTGTTTTCGCTAGTGCCTGCTTGCTTATGCGTCTGGCCTAACAGCTAATGCAGGGTTTGCGCGCCCCCCAAGTCTGAGTATTCGCTGTATCACCCTTCACACCATTCTTCTCCTTCTCTATTTGTGCTAGGCAGGGAAGTTGACGAAATTGACGCCATCTGAAAGCACATATGTTCAGGAAGTTTGCGTTTCTTTTTGTAATCCATAACTCAGCAAAAACCTTCAACTGCTGCCCTGTACAACATAGCCGTTTTGTCTACCGATTTTGTGTTTCGTGCTGCCTCGCTAGCTTGCTGCCTGGTTCGCTAGCTATCTGGGTAGCTAGCTGTATGGATAGCTAGCTGGTTGCATGACTTGCTGCTGGGTTAGCCAGCTAGCTGGCTAGATAACGGAAGGTTGCCTCTCTAGGCAGAGATGGCTGTCAGCACGGAAGGTTGCCTCTCTAGGCAGAGATGGCTGTCAGCATGGCGAGCAAACCGGAAGTCAGAACGGTAGGGACGGCGGTGGCTGCTGCAAAGCCAGCTTCAACAGAAACATTCAGATCTTCTGCTGTCATGTCTTTCAATAATGTTTGTCGCGCAATAAGTCCGTTGAAATACTCCTCACTGCAAGAAAGGAAAAGCAGACAGGCAGGTGCACAGAAGTGAAGCGTATCCCCAGCTGCTGTGGCTAATTCTATGTAAATCCTTTCTTCGCGATGCACGCTCCACCGGTGGTGAAAAGCAGGAAAGCACAGCCTTGTCTGTTTGATCTTCTGTCGGGTTTTCTGCAACATCAGTATCGTCTGTCTGAAATCCAGATTGACTACTTTCAGCTTCTACTTGAAACTGTGCTCCGAAATCAAAACGTACCCAAATGGGGCCTTCCCCTTCTCCGCTGGAGGGTTTAGTTGACAAAAAAGCATGGCCTTGTCTGTTTGAGTGACGGTCGGAGCGTTGGGATCCTTACTCCTGCCTGCCTGAAATTCTACCGGTTCACCTGCAGCTTCTACTTCGGTACACCTTCCAATGACGCAGCCGATTGTAGTGCTGGTGGACCCGAGGAGGTATGCGAGGTTAGAACCCGCTTCCGTCCCCCAAACTTGTCCCCAAGCGGTTTCGTCCTTGGGGTATTCTTTGTTGCTAATGAAAGATAAACAGTCAGCACAGCGTAACACAGCTGCCATAATTAGAAGTTAACTCAAGGGATGGCTATGAGGCTGGCGTGATAAATACTTTGCTGCAGCCAGCTGCGTGTTGAGTATGAACGCTGATTGAGAAGCATTTTGCTTACGTGAAGGCATCGAATCCCGCGTTAAGGGCTTCCTGCAGCAGTTGACGGTAGTCAGGAGTATCGGTGTTGTACTCAAACGCACGATAGAACATCTCTTTCTGTAGGCCAAAATATGAAAACAGCAGGGCAGTTTGCTTGTGTTCAGTCGGGTCCAGGCAATTATGTGAACTGCTGCCCAATCGGTGTCAGGCTGTACAACGTAGCTTAGGGCTGATGTTGGTATAGTACAAATATCGGTAGAAAAAGCACTATTTTTTGCCACTTTCGGCTGCTGTGCTCACAAGATCTGATTTGATTTTCATATCATCGCACGTCCCGTCAGTGAGCGCTCCTCCTTCTACTACTTGGTTCTTCAAGGTAGTGACAAGGTCTTCGTCCCTTGCGACTTCGCTGATGCGAATCAGAAGCTTTCCGTTACGGAGTAAGTTAACCGACAAATATGCCTCTGCAGCAAGAAAATACATGCACGGAGGACGAATCGAGATGGGATAGTGAATCTGTTACCACTGAACCTCAAGCTGCTCGAGGTCCGTCGGAGCTGTAGGTGATGGCTTGAGAGCAAACAATACGGGCAGTGACACACGACGAAGACAAACAAGCACGGGAAATACGCTTGCCTTCGCCCACATCCACTGCTGAGAATTTATATGTTTTAACGGGTGTCGCCTCTGATTGGAGCCCACAGAGGGCGACGAGGCAAGCTGCTGCTGCCGACTTGTAGAATGAAGCCATTGCGACAGAAGGCGAGGTAGAAGCGTAAATAAAATGCTTTTTGTTTTAAAATATAGATATAAAAGAATATATTTAAATTAAGGGGCCTCGGAAGGAGGAGAAATCTGTTCTTTTTGGCTGGTCCTCGAGTTTACTAGATCTCGAATGGGCCGGTCACTCGAAGGGGGGCGGTAGCCGAATCTCACCCCTTCACTTGCAAATCGCGCAGACAGAACTCCAAACTCAAACAAAAGTTGAAATGAAAGATAATTAAAACAAAATATAGATAAAATGTTGGGATTCTTCTACAAAAGGGTTGAGTTTTTTGCCTTCGTCTCTGCACCAAGAGCTCTTCCGCCTGTCAGTGACCGCTGAGGCTCCAGCGGAGCCCGAGTGTCCACCGCGAGATATTTGCCACGAATTATAGTTGGATGAGGCAAACACGTCAACATATATTTACGAACGAATGACTTTAACTGATGCACTTTTTTGGCGGTGAAGAGGCCCCCTGCAGATTGTTTACATGTAACTGATGTCCTCGATCTTAACTGGCGACTATCATGAGATGCGGTGACAAAGCGGATAACATCCTCTAGACATCCTGGGTATGGGCTGCTGCACGCGGGGCTGGTGCGACGATGAGGCTGCCTGATATGAGTTGAAGCGCACCGTGCAGCAACTAGCCCTAGAAGGTATTCCCTCATGCAAGCGCCACCAAGCTTGCTTTGCTGCGTGTTGTGACTGCGGATAGACCACTATGCGCTGTTCAACCAGATAATTCAGCACTGATTTGGCCGCCAACCCTTACAAATTCAACTTAATATATCAAATAAGGTATTTATTCTCCGTATAAGAAGTAAATAGTCTACAAACATACGTATTATATGCTTAGGCAAGCCATATAAAAGAACATAATTAACATTTTGCTGCAGGAGGGAGCGATGCAATTGTGTACGCTGACAGCAACACTCACGCCCATCTCAAG